GCAGCGAATGTTGCAATGGCTCCCTACACATGTACAACAAATATTAGCTAATGCTTATCAGGATAACGTACTAAACTTTTAGCCTGTATCGCTGCTAAACTCATAGATACAAACGCTAAGGAGCTGGCTAGCCGAACAACCTCTTCGTGGTGCCAGCTGGGTGGTTCGGGTTTAACCAGTTCCAGCACATAGTTCGGCGGCAGTGTTCCAGGACGTGGTGGGTTTTCGCCTGGCAAGCGTTCTCCCTATAAAAAGCCACAAATGTCTGTTTAACAACACTGCGACGTGGCGGATGTGACTCGCCACAACATAAAGTCACTGGCCCGTGGATATCCGAAAAGTGCTATCCAACCCAGACAGCTACAATTATACAAAATTACTTACGTATTTACACCCATACACGCTAGATATCCGGAAAGTGCTACCCAACTCGCAGACCTCCGTCGCTTATGCTCACATTCCTGAGTATAACAAACAGTCAAAAATGCTCCGGCATATTCAGACACAAGCTACATTCATACAAAGTTACATACGTATATACACTCATGCACTTACATACACCGTTATGCCAAACATGAACTTTTTGTACATTTTTGATCACACTATGTTAGCTAAGCATGATCATGCCTGTAAAGGCGTGCCTCGCCTTGTCGAGAATAAAAGTTTATTTATTTATTTATTTAGTTATCGACACATTAGTGACAGGCGTACGCCCCGTGTAAGCACAACTGGCCACGATCGCCATTGCCAAACAAAGGAGCAACTCACGATCAAACCAACTGCGTACTCTAGGTGTTAGTCGTTCCCATGGCATACGCTGGTACCACCGGAGATGCCGTAACGGGGCTAGGAAATGCACAAAGTCTCCTCGATTTGCAAATACGGGGAAACGGACGCGCCAGCTCGTACTGGCGACGATGCAAGCTGGCGTATGCGAGCCAGGTCAACCATTTTCCCTGCGGGACGTATGATCTGGCATGCGATTACTCGTAGACACTGGTACCCAAATTAGTGTGGTTCCACACATCCGGTGGACCTAAGCACTGCTCGGTATACAGCCCGCAGACAGTACACGACACGCCCATCCAACCTATGGAGGACGTACTATTACAATAAACCTTCGTCTGCGCAGGACCTATTCTTGGATTTTCATATAGCCAAAGTGCCTACCGCAATCCTAGACCTCAGTTTTTTCAGCATCATGGCATTATCGTAGATCCCAAACGCTGCCAGGTTATCAGTGGCCTGACGAAACCACCACAGACTTGTTTTAAAAGCTCTATTATATCTATGAGTCCACAGCTTGTCCTGCCACAAGCCACTTCAAGGAAACTGGATCTGTCACGAGAATTTAATAGCATTACAAAACCTGCACACCACCATGGAGAGGTTAAACATGAAGTCGTTCATAGGATAGCGACAACCGGTAGTCCGGTTTCCCGTCGACCACGGCGAGTAGCGCCTGATAAGTTTAGTGCAGCGAAGGCTGAATTCTACCAAGGATACATTTATGCATGATAAGTCCGTCCAGCGGTATGTGGGCAGAGCCCCGACGGATGGCCCTAAGAACAAACCTTGTAGGGTTACTGGGGACTGAACGTCACCACCGTCCCAGACAGTTAATTTATTCCGGATCTCCAGGATTTCTCATCCTCGCTGTACGGAAAGCATGTTCAGCAAGATAGATCTAGGGTGGGCACATCATCAAATTCCCGTGCACCCTCGGGATGTTCCTAAGCCTGCCGTCACCACTTCCTTTGGCCTATTTGAGTGCTTACAAATGCTATTTGGTCTCAATAATGCAGCTCCGACCTTTCCGCGTTTTATGGGTCAGATGATTCGCGGACTCAATTTCGTGTTCGTCTACATTGACGATGTTTTGGTTGCAACTCCTAAGCATGACGTACATTTGCGCCATTTGCGAGAAATATTTGTGCATTATGCCTCTAAGAGTCAAGTTGGTAATGATACGGTAGACTTTCTTGGTCAAGGTGTTTCCTCCGCCGTAAATACACCCCTACCAGATAGCGTGACGATCATCACTGAGTACCCAAGCCCTGCTTCGCTCAAAAGGTTACGCCGGTTTGTGGATATGTTTAACGTTTACAGACGATTGCTTCCGCACTGTTTCGAGTTACCCAGCCACCTAGCGAGCTACTTAAATTGGATACTAAGTCATCCAGGTTTACGGGATCAGCTAAGCGGGCATTCGGGGATCTAAAACATCAGCTAGCAAACTGCAAACTCTCTTGATGCATTTAGATCAGAAGGCGCCATTACACTTAACGGTGGACGCCTCAGTTGCAGCAGTAGGTTGTGTGATACAACAAGGACAGAGAATCAACTTGTATCCGATTGCCTTTTTCTCTAAGCAAATACAGCCTGCCGAACGACGTTATAGCACGCACAGCAGAGAACTCTTAACTAGTTACCTCAGTGTGCGTCATCCCCGACATTACTCAAAAGCATGTGCGTTCACGCTATTCACCGGTCATAAGCCGTTAACGTTGTCATCGCGTTCCGCTTCTGATCGACTTTCCCCACGAGAAACAAAACAAGTAGATTACATCATCCAATTTACTTTAGACATTCACCATTTGTCCGGTGGCAACAACGCCGTAGCAGAAACCCTTTCGCGAGAAGAAATCAACACCCTATTTGCGCATTCCTAGGTTGAGGACCAAGAGCTGGGCACAGCACATCAGGACAAGCAGTTTCTTCAACAACTGCAAGAAACCAATCTAGGGTAAAACCCATTTCGCTGCCTGAAGGTTCTGAGGTTCTGAGGTATGACTTATCGACAGCAAAGTCCCGAGCTGTAGTTCCACCGACCTACCGGCGAACCAGCTTTGGTTCATTAAATGGTCCGTATTATCTAGGCATCCGTGCAAAGCGCAAACTAATTTCTGATCGAGTTTTGGGGGCGGCACTGAACGAAAACGTGCAAACCAGGGTGAGAAACTTCTTCCCATGTCGACGTTCAAAGTGCACCGCCATACGCAAGCACCACTTGCTAAATTCACCTTTTCTGATGCTCGTTGCAGTCCCGTGCACAAAGAAACCGTCAGTCCGCTGCGGCCGACGAGTGGATATAAGTACTTACTCATTTGTATCGATCGTTTCACCTGATGGCCCGTGGTAGTACCCTTCGTGGACGTTACGGCGGAAACAGTAGAACGCAACTTTGTGGCTCATTGGATCGCACATAATGGTGTTGCATCGGACAAGCCCTACTGAGTGGTGTTCCAAAGGGTCGGTTGTCGGACCTCTACTGTTTGCATTGTATATCAGTGACCTCCCGGAGAAGCTTAAGGTGCCATCATTTCTGCCTGCGGATGACTTAAAATTTTGGGATACATTGGGCTATTCTGTTGGACCCGCGGCTTTGCAGACAGCTCTCGACAAGCTTTGGGATTGGTCAGCATTTTAGCATCTGCCAATCAATCTTGCCACTTGTTCGGTCATGTGCATAGGAGCAATCACTTGACAACTCCTTATGTACTTTGCGGAAATGTAGTACTTAAGTGACTGAACAAACCGACATGGGTATCTCGGTATCCTCTTACTTCAAATCCAGAGAGAACTGGACAAATCCTACCAGCAAGTTCTGCCGAATGTTGTGTAGGATCCGGCAGCACAACAAATAGAATGTTTGTTACACGTTTCTCAGCTTTTGTCAGGCCGTACTTGGAGTACTGCGTGCAGGTCGATACCCCATGCTTGGTACGCGACAAGAGGACACTTGAACGAGTTCCAGGACGCGGTGGACCTTCGCCTGGCTAGGGTTTTCCCTACGAAAATCCACAAATGTCTGTTTAACAACACTGCGACGTGGCGGATGTGACTCGCCACTCAGTAAAGGCACTGCCCCCAACACGCATTGGAAAGTTGACCGATACCACATTTGCAAATTCTGTGTAAATATCTGCTCTCGTACGAACACGCTTACATATTTGTTTAGTGACACGCCACTATTCTCAAATATTTTTGCAGCTTTTTCCTCGGGCTTCACTCACCTGACCCGCACTGTGTACACCATTTAATCGGACTAGTTCCTCGTCAACATGCTCCATATTAGTGATCTGATTCTTACCTCTACATCTCGCATTCAGTGGACATAGACTTCTTACAACCTTTAGGCCATATGGGCCCACACTATTGTCTCCAACTTTATTACTCCCGCGCTTGGTGCTGCTAATCATGCTATCATGTACAATATTGCCATATGCTGATCATGCCCAAATAAAATATTTATTTATTTATTATTCTGAAGGTTGGCACAAAATGGTACAAGGATTGAGGCATTTCGCTTATCCTGATAGGCTGCACAGGTTGCAGCTGTTTTCGCTGCACTATAGGCGCCTTTGGGGAGGCCTGATTCCCACGTACTGTATATTGACCGGCATGATTGGGTCTGGTCTAACTAAACTGTTCCATCCTGCTCAGATACCTTCTCTTCGTGGTCACCCTCTGAAGCTGCATAAAGCGGGATCTGATCGCGTTAGAGCTGACTTTCGTTTGTCACACAGGTTTATTGACTCATGGAACGCACTACCCAGCGAAGTAGTATTAGCCCCAACGGTGAATGAATTTGAACATAGGCTGGACGCTCTTGGGTTTCAGACCTTTCCGTTTAGTTCTTAAGTTTATGTCCATTTCCTTGGCTTCTCACATCTAATGTTATTATTGTCTTATCCACGTATTCTGTCCTACGTATCATTATTCGGTTGTTGTTGATTCGCTTGTCTTAGCTTTTATTTACGTGACCGGTACAGCGGGAACTGTTAGTGCAGGCCGCGTGGGCATTGATTGGTAAAGCGTGATTTGATTCGTGTGTAGTGATTTGGCTCATCTCGGTTTCAAATCATTCTCGCGAACTCCGGCATGTTTTAGCGACACATTGAAGAAAAAACACACATGGGTTTTTCAAACCTTCCTGACCACCTTGAACTTGAAGTTGTGTCCTTGGCCAGCTGTACCCAACCAGCATAACCCTGATCCCTTTTGTCGGAGTTCCGAGAATCGGATGATATGGAAAGGGATGTTGTGCTCGCCGACTTTCAGGTACTCTCGTTACAATATTAACACTTTTCTGGCTGACCCGACCAATATTTTATGATCCTAATATATCACTTTTGTTAATCCTTCAGGCATGTACAGGAATTGATAATTTGGAGTACTGCATTTCCCTGCTCGAAGCACATGACTGGAATCTTGGAGCAGCTGTGACGTCTGCCCTTGCGGATAGCACCCAGGGTAAGTTGGTTCATTCAAAAATGTCTCGGTTCTTTTTCGCTTCTTTTTGATTTAGCTTGTTGGTTTTCAGATTTCAGCACACTGAACTGGTACAAGACGCGGCTTACACCTGACAGGGAAGTACTTCCCTGGACAATCAATCGTCCCTTATGGGCGTATTCTCGATCACGCGCTGAGACTAACAATAAATACCAAAATAAATAGCGTAATATGGCCAGCAATGTCGTATATTATAATGCATCTTAAACACCGCTTCTCTGCCTATAAGTCGACCTAGTAAAATCGGAATTTGAGCCAGCACGAGAGACCGTTTAAACGCCCTACGTGACTTTTTATGCCCACTGCCCCCTCTTGGGTTCAGCGACTTGCGTCCTCGGTTTCGATTTTTTCTGCTTCTCTGACAAACTCGTCAGCACGCTAACATACATGCACATAGCATGCACTGATTACGTAAATTAAACCTTTTTATTTCCGCTAACAACTGGCAGTCCAAACCCTAATCGAGCGCCGACAGATTGTGGTCGGACGTTTGCCTTACCCTACATGAACTCGGTTCCACCACGACGACCTGCAAACTACTCTATAGGGAGAGACGCCCAGCTCTCATCCGAAGTCGTACACGAAAGTGGATTGCCTCCAGGAGTCGAGGTGCCTGGGGCTCTTGTTCGCTTACAGGTGCAAGAAACAGGACGCTCGTTAGGCGGAAGCCTGTATCGTCCTTGGAACCTAACCTGATCTGAGAGACAGGGCATGGAGAAACTCTCATCCAACAGCTACTCAGTGGGAATCTTACCGACTCATCCGTAACCAATCGCGAAGATAAGATGGAAAACTATTGTCAGCTTATGCGCAAATTTTCATCAAAATCCAAAAGCCTTGTATAGTCACGTCAACGGTCTCCGACAAGTCAAGCACGGTGTCACTGCGCTGAGGACTTCTACAGCGCTCAAAAATTAGCGAACGAGGCTGCAGAAATCCTATGCCAACAGTACACATCCACATTCTTCGTTCTATCAATGCATACACCGATAGTACTTTCTTCGGTTTCACCCTCAACGTCCCTGAAGACTGTTCAGTTCACTCCGGAGATCCTAGTGAAACTTAAATCCCTGCGGCTAACGACTTCTCCTGGCGCTGATGGTTTCTACCCAAGGCTCTTGCGAGTGTGCGCTGCAGCTCTAGCTTTTCCCCTAGCGGAGCTGTTCACCCACTTCTCGCAAGACGAAGTTTCCAATGATTGGAAATGTGGAACTATTACACCAATCTACAAAGGTGGCATTTGCAAAGACCCGGTCAATTACCGGCCGATAACCCTCCTCTCTACGATCTCCAAAGTGGTGGAATCGATCATCACAGACGCTTTAATGGACCACATGCAGACCCAGAAACTGCTCAGATCGCCAACAGGGCTTCCGGCGGCAACGGTCGTGCCTGAGTAACTTGCTACCTGCAAGTGGTAGCTGGACGACTCTGGCATGGAAATGCATGTCGTTCTTAGATTTCGCTAAAGCCTTCGACAAAGTCGACCACAACATCCTACTACACAAACTGTTGTCTTAAGGCGTATCAGGAGCCTTGATGGACTGGATCCGGGACTACCTCCAAAACCGTACCGTCCAAGTACGTGTCGACAGAGCGTTGTACCCCTCCCCGCATCCTTTCCGCAAGCGGTTCCACAGGAGTCTGTGCTCGGGCCGGACCTCTTCCTTGCCTTCATCGATGACGTCACAACGCAAGTGGGGTCTTCGTTGCTGCTATATTCGGATGATGCGAAGCTTTGGCGCACGAATAACGCTTCGGACGATGCCCGCACACTTCAGACGGACCTCGACCCTCTACATCAGTAGTCAATGGAAAACAATCTACTATTTAACGCTTAGAACTACCGCGTTCTCTCTACCCGTCCCTCCGCTTCTATATGCTTTCTTGGAGCGTCTATTCCTCAGGACTCGTCAGCCGAAAGAACTTAGGTATCATTACTCAAACGAATCTTTCTGTAACTGCTTCCTGCCAGAAAGCAGCTTCTGCTGTTAATCACATGGTGGGATTGTTGAGACGAGCCTTCAGTCAAATTGACCTTAGCAATTTCCGCCTCCTCCTCAACGGTTTTCTTCGCCGCTACCTGGTGTTTTCTGTTCAGGCTTGGAGCCCCTGGTTGCTGTAGGACCAACGGATACTTGAAGCACCACGTCGAGCTGCAAAACTGGTACGAGGTCTCAAACACCTGGATTATCTACAACGGCTTCACTGCCTGACCTCCTACTCACTAGAAGAGCGACGTCTCCGTGGCGACTTGATTCTCCACGGCCCGTAGCCTAGAGGTAACGACCTTGACTTGTAATCTTGCGTCGCGGGTTCGGGCCTGCGTAGAAGAAGCAGGGCGACCCTCGCAGTATCCTTAACCCATGTGCGACCGGTGGTGGTTGCGCGGAAGCGAAGCGTCGGTACAGCGTACCGATGTACTGCTGAGGCCTTTCTTCTTACTTTTCGACTTGGTCCTTGTATTTGTGATCCTATCCAACCTTGAACATCCCTGCCGCCACCTACTCAAACTGCACCAATCGTGTTTCCAACTTTGTGGCCACCCAGTGAGGCTCACACATCAGCACAGTCGATTGAACTGCATGCGACAGTTCTTCGCTTTGCGAATCTGCCGACCCTGGAATGCTTTTCTTACCGATCTAGTCTAAGCACCCACTGTTCCTGATTTTAAGACCCGCCTGGACTGTCATCTTGCCGAGCTACACCGCGATCTACCCTGATACAACTACCTACTCCATTTCATGTTCCATACTGACCCTAGTCAACATCTAGCTGCCTCCTACACTAGGCAGCATCTTGTTCTTCAACTCTCGACGCTTCCGATATGCACATTGACACTTCATTTTTTCTCTACTTCCTTTCCATAGCCGTTTCAGAGGACGTAGTGGGATGTCACGCTTTGAGCCGGCATGCATTCCGTTTAAATGCCACATGTACCCGATCAAGGTACGGCTACGACACGAGTCCAACTCGCTATTAGGTTGCTTGGCCTTTCATCAGACCTGACCCTAACTTTTTTACCCTATGGGTCATGTAAAGCTCGAGCTTTTATTCCCATTAAATACGATGTTCCAGTGTTCTAGTTGGAAACGGTTGATACAAATTTCGATCATAAACTAATTTTCGGTTTAACTTTACTGCTTTAGTATTGTTCCTTGTTCCTTGGAGTGCTAGAGAACAAAAAGGTGATCCTATGTCAGCCCCATCACTTCCCGTTCAAAGCAGGGATATCGCGATCCTTGCGATACCTCGTTCCATGGAGGACCATCACGATCGCAGCGGAAACAGCACTATCCTTGGTTACTCAGTAGATAGGAGTCCAACAGCCGTTTGAAACTTTCCTCACTCTGTGCACTGATGACGCCAATTCCCCGAAGTTTAAGGAGCCATTCGTGCGGGACTTTATCGAATCTTTTCCTGAAGTGGACAAAGACAACGTCCAGGCGCTTGTAGGCATCCAACGATTGGACCATTGTTCTCTGGCCACAAGTAGGTTGGAGACACACGAGCGTACACTCCGGAATCTATGCTGAGTGGTAGAGATGACATTCAGATTATCCAGAAGATAATGCAAGGCTCCTTTAAGAATTCTCATGACTTCACACACTATGGATGTTAAACAAATAGGCCGATAATTTCCAGAATCCTGGCGCTTTCTACCTTTGTATATGGGCTTAGCGACGTTTACTTTCCAAGCAAGCGGGTGATGTTCTGCATCGATAGATCGCTGCAAAACTTGGCAACCAGGTACAGCGATGTACTTTGCCACTGTTTTAATAAACAGCGGGCGCAGCCCATCAAGACCGGCTGAGGAGTTCGAATTTAACTCGAGTAGTTTCGCGACTGAATCGGTGTTGGTTTCAAGGTATACTAGTGGAGGGAGGCGTAGGGACTAAGTTACTGGTCACCGGCGTTTCAGTTGCAAAGACAGAGGAATACTGCGATGCCAAAAGCTGTTTTTTCGTCATCTACATGAAGCATAGTGTTCTCGCGGGAAAACGACAGGTATCCCAATGATAACTTTGGTATTACGTTTCCGACAGGAAAAAAGTATCTTGGGAGCAATTATCGATCCTTCGGTCAAGCGGTTTTCATACTGCTGTCGTTTCTCGCGCTTCCTTAAGGTGCAGATGTTCCCGACCGCTTTATAACTAGTGTAGTCTAACGCTGATTGCGTAGTTTTGAACTTGTCATACACTTTGCGTCCTCGGTTTATAAGAGACCTTACTTCACCATCAATCCAATGAGGGCCTTTGGAGAAATGTTTACTACTAGAGAGTGGGACGACCTGATTAATGAGGGACATAAATTTGGAGCACAAATTACTCCAGGCATTGGCAAGGTATACTCCTATCCATAATGCCAGCAGTATTTTACAAAGAATTTGCATCGTCTCGTTAAAATTTCCGACGCTACACCCCTGGGCCATGAAATTCAAGATGTTGCATCCAAGGAAAGAAAAACCACACAATGATCGTTCCTACTCAGCGGCTGGAGAGTAGTCAAGTCAACATCAGACTATGCCGGTTTAACCACAAGGTTGAGGACGTGTGACAACTGATTTGCACATATACTGTTGGGTTGTGTAACATGCAACGACGGTTTCAAGGAAAACAGCGTCGAAAAATGCCTTAGTAAGATCCCATTGGAGTAAATCATAATCAATACAACCGGCGTTAAGGTCTCCCAGAATCAGACAACCCTTGCCACCACCATGCTTCTTGATAGAGTTCAACTAGCTGGCTCCGGAACCCAAAAGGGCTCTGTAGACAACGCCAACAATAAGAGACCTGCATCCGTCATGGATCCGGCACCAAAGGGTTTCAGGCCCGCTATCATTGTCACAGATTGCTTTCACCATATGACCTCTGAGATCTTTTTAGTAGAAAATCACACCATCAGACCTCACTGCAAAATGGCTGGCTCGAGATAGATGATACTTTGGAAAACGCAACTAA